GAAAGTAGAAGAAAAGTTATGTTACAAATTCCATCTATGGAATAAGCTTTAGTAGCCATAAAATCGTAGATTGGAGGTGATAAGGAGAGGGAAGTAAAGAAGGATGGAAAGAGGGATGTGTTTTGTGACTACTGTAAGAAGCCAAAACATACTAAGGACACTTGTTGGAAGCTTCATCTTCAACCAATTCTAGAAAGACTCAGGAATAGGAAAGAAAATGCAAATGCAGCTGTAACCACAAGAGCTTCATCCACAACTGTAATCACGGGAGCTTCATCCACACCCAACACTAGATCCAATTATCTTGATGCATTGGCTGCTGTTAGGGTTGCTTTATCTCAGCTGGAGAGTGAAGTTGGCATCTTAGGACAGACTCTTTCAACTCCTCCCACTTCTGCTTTTGCTTAATCAGGTACAAGGGCCATTGCCTATCATGCTTCAATCCCAGGTAACACTAGTCATTTTTGGATTGTAGATTTAGGAGAATTTGATCATATGACTAGCTTGTCTTCTTTATTTCACACTTATTGCTTATCCTCTGGCAGAGACAAAGTGTCCATTGCTGATGGTTCTCTTGTCCCTATTTTGGGCAAGGGAGACATCAGTGTCTCTGATGCTATTTCCTTATCCTTTGTTTTGCATGTTCCTAAACTAAGTACTAATTTACTTTCAGTTAGTAGTATCGCTAAACACCAGAATTGTTCAGTGACCTTTTTCCCTGATCATTGTGTTTTTCGGGATTTGGCAATGAGGAAGGTGATTGGGATTGGTCGTGAGACGAATGTGATCTACTTGCTTGAACATCCACCTGGGAAGAGTAAAGAACCTGGGAGGTCTTGTGTCACAGTCTATGAGTCAAATTATGCTTTAGCATAATCGATTGGGTCATCTTTCTTCTAGGTCTTTAAAGAGTCTTTTTCCTACTTTGTTTGAGTCAGTCTAAGTGTCCATTTTGAAGTGTGAGTGTTGTGAGTAGACCTGTTCATGGGCCAGGTAGCCCGATGGCCCGGCCCGGCCCGGCCCGACCCGCACCCCGGCCGGGCTTGGTCATATAATTAGGCCCGCGGCCTGACCTCGGGCTTAACACAGTAAGCCCGACTGTGTTTCGGGCCGGGCTCGGGATTTGTCAAAAAAGCCCGACCCGAACCCGGCCCGGCCCGACTCAGTATTATATATTTTATAAAATATATAATATGTATTTTATATATTATATAAAATATATAAATAATATAATATTTATT